CATATTACAATAACCAAATTATGGATTCTACAAAATGTTTCTTGCTTAACTCTCAACTTCTGCAAAGGTAGAACTGAACCAAAGTAAGTTTATCTGAAAATTGCATGTTGAATGACAAGCTGAGCTTTCAGAATATCTGGTTTAGCAAATGGCACTACTATTTAAATAGAATTAAAGACTTGCTACTGTTTGTTTTTTCTACATTTGATCAGTTGAAACAAATCACGTCCTTTTTCTAGAATCCATTATGGAGCTTATGAAGTCTGAAATACAGCCACAGGAGGTAAGATACCCCACTGCTAATTGCTTTCCTTTAATACTGTGATCTATCAGAAACATAACTGCAACTTCTGCAGCCCTTTTTTAAAACTTAAAAAGGGAGTCTGAACAGCAACTTAGGTGTAACTTTATGTAGGAAACATTAAAGACTTGGTTGTGTTTCTATTTCTAGCCACAAATTCATGGCTTTAGGGTATTTTGGGATAAATAGGGCAGGATTACGTGAAGCAGTATAGTTCTTTAATGCTCTGGCACTTTCCTGAATAAACCAAAGCATCAGCCTTTAGAGTGGAAATACACTGATCTTTTGTGTACTATGGGATAGAGAAAATACACATCTACTAAAGCTGTCTCTGAAAGCTAAGTGTATTGTGGTAGACTTCACATTGGTGAGGTTGAGAATGATGTAGGTCTTTCTCAGATTTGTTAGAAAAGTAGGGATCCCCAGACAGACTTGTGTGCACAGGGTTATGTAGACCTGTTTCAACGGCCCTTCAGACTCCTGAGTTAAGTACTCAAGCTTCAACTGGCAATAAAATAAAAACCATTAGACTTGGTTCAAAAGGTGGGGAGGGGTGTCCTTTTGTAAGTGGAAATACTGGTTCTTAAAATGCTGAATCCCCATTTCCCAGGTATCCCACTACAGGGTGTACTCTAGAACAAGTTTTTGTGTCCTACAAGTGTAATGCTTTTACCTGATTCTAAAGCTTTTCTTGTGACTTGTCAGAAAAAAGATCTCAGCCAGTGAGGCTTGTATGTTCTTTGCTTCATATTTACTTCTTGTTTATAACAAAGTAGTAACTCAGGAAAACTTCAGGGCATCTTCATTGAACTCTGACTTACTTGACAGTAAACACAGCCTGGAGTACTAAATCTGAGAATCTGGTGATTTTTTTAGAGTTTAAACTCTATTAAGAATGATGGTTATACTTGGTTATTGGAGCAAAGACTCTGGGGGAGATGGTGCTGGTACACTTAGCAGAATGTCTACTAATATAGTACCACAGCATTTTAGATGCTTAGGAGGAGAACTACCTTTATAAAAATCACAACTGAACTTGATACTGTCACTAACAGTTAGTATTGAGGATATGGGTAATGGACTCACTCAGCTGAAGTATATTTCACTTGTGCTGTTCAGGACTGTTTCATGCTTCTCTGTGGCCTGCCCAGCAAAGCTAGTCTACAGTGTTGTAGGATAAAGCCATGGCTGTCCACATAGCTTCTATGGCTAGTGCTTAACTGTCTAAATCCTGCTTTTAGTCAGAAATTTTCAGTAGCTGGGTGACTTAACTGACCTGAACTGTAGTAGCAAAATGTTTTCTTGGGAGCCATTAAGTTTCTTTGGTCTATATAGTTTCTCAACAGGCGTTATTTGCCTGAAGCAGAATACTCTCTCAAGAAGAAGCCAGAAGAGGCCAAATCTTGGGAAGCTGAGTGTGCTAGAAAGCAAGAACCTCCAAAGTCCTGGGAAATGCTTGTTGATACTGAAGAACAGGAAAAGAAGCAGAAACAAGAGACCTTAAAGCCTTGGGAAGCTCGTGTTAGGCAGCAAGAACAGAAAAGACCAGATTCTCCAAAGCCTTGGGAAGCTCGTGTTAAAGAGGAGGAACAGAAGCATGAGTCTACAAAGCCTTGGGAAACCCGTGTTGAGGAGGAAGAACAGAAGAAGCAAGAAGCTCCAAAGGCTTGGGTAGCACGTGTCCGAGAGGAGCAGGAGTCCCCCAAACCTTGGGTAGCAAAGGTTAGGGAAGAGCAGGACCAGAAGAAACAGGAATCATCTAAGCCATGGGTAGCAAAAGTTAGGGAAGAGCAAGAACAGAGAAAGCAGGAGTCCCCGAAACCTTGGGTAACCAAAGTTAAGGAAGAACCAGAACAAAAGCAGGAATCTCCAAAACCTTGGGTAACCCAAACTAGGGAGCAACCGGAACAAAAGAAGCCAGAGCCTGTGAAATCATGGGAAATGCCTGTTAGGGAAGAGCCAGAGCAAAAGAAGCAGGAGCCTGTGAAGGCTTGGGCTGCACATGTTAGGGAGGAGCCAGAACAAAAGAAGCAGGAGACTCGAGAGGCTTGGGAAAAAGCTGACAGGCAGCAGCAAGTGTCATCACAGCAGTTACAGAACCCTCTGAAGTCCTGGGGAGCTGCAAGTGTTGGGCCAAAGGAGCAGATGGGGCCAAAGAAGTTTGATATGGAACCCAAAGAAGTGAGTTGGCATATGTAGTATTACCTGTCATAAGCTTTTCACACTAGCGTATTGGACTAAAGCTACCTATTGGCATAGGCTTTATGAGGTGCATTTTGTAGGCCTATATTTAGACTCCTATTTCATTCTTTCTTGGGGGAAATAATTCTGGCAATTAAACTTTATATATGAGTAGCAAGATGGTCTGCTTTGCTTTTTACACCAGCACAGTATTGCTGTGTTTGAGCCTTGAATAACTGCTTTATGCATAAGACAGAAGCATTAACTTAGTTTATGCCCAGCTATTGGCTCTGTCCACTGTTACCGGTACAAAGCAAGTATGACTCATCCAGGGATCAAATACTTTGTCTGTGGCTGCATGCAAATAGCACTTCGGTAATTTTTTAGGCTTTTGATTAAAATAGCTGCTGATTCAAGAGAGATCTAACATCTAGATGAAGCAATACCAACTGTACAGGGGCTTAAATATGTATTTCCAGATGAATGCATAAGCCATACTGCTGTCCTGGAGAGTCTAACAATAGTATAGTTTGGTTTAGAAATGTAAAATGAAAGTTATTGTAGGGCTTATAGCTGAGCAGGCTGCTAGCCTCTGGTTATGTTACCTTCTTTCTCACCTGTGCTTGGGTAGTAACAATTCTGATACTGAAAATAGGTAAGGTGGCAGGCAAAGCAGAGTTCAGTTATGTCATTAAGAGCAGAGTTTAGAGTTAGGCTTCAGGAAGAAAATATGGGGAATTGAGCAGGTTTTGTACACAATGTTGTTGGCACTGCTACCTTGTTTCTGCAAGAAAGCAGAAATTGGCTTATTCCATATTACTCATAGCACATGATTACACTTAAATCTTGTCAGTAAACTTGGCATAACTGAAATTTTTGTGCCTAGAGGCGGGACCGCAAACAGAAGGTTGAACATGAAATTAAAAGAGTAGGTAACATGCAGCACTGGGTAACAATGGGATTAAGGTGTTTCAACTTGATTCATCTTCACACTTGAGCTGCATAGAATCTTGTGTCCACTGGTGGTGGTGGTACAGGTACAAAACCTGGTGGCCTCACACTAAGTAGCTCTGATCACAAGTAGGTGTTGTGCACCCAACTATGCATACTATTACTGTAACTGAAACTATCATTGTATTGGAGTAGTCTCAAGCACTTTAAGATGCCTTGGAATTTCTGGTGTCAATTTAAATTTAAGCTTAAATGCAGGATGCTCCCTGATAAGATGGGGCTCTTATTTTTGTATAGGATGGAAAGATGGATGGCTTAAGTGATGGACAAAACTTTGATGCAGTAAGGAAAAGAGGGTTTCCAGTCAGTTGGAGAAACTTGCAAACTGGCTAGGAATCTTGAGTAATGTGCAGGTGTGCAAGTCAGCCAAATCAAACTAAATCGAATGTTGGAATATAAGGTTGCTTAAGCTGGACTCCTGAATTAAGTAAACAAAGCATATTTTTAAAGTATTCAAACTTTGATTTACATAGTAGACCATAGTGAAATGCCAGCTGGCTATATTTTTGCTTAATAGCTATTGACAAACTCTAACATCAAAAGTATATTGAAAGAGTAAAAAAAAGTTTCTTGTCAACCTAGCTAGATTCCATAACCACTTTCTAAAAAATAAATGTCTTAATTTGACTTGAGATGCATATAAAGAACAATTAAAATATTTTAAACTTTGTGGATAATGAAGCTTGTCTTGCCTTTCTTGGAAGAAAGAGGTGGCAATGCAGTGCTGTAGCTGATCTGTTTCACTCCCAGGGAGAATCTATACATGACCTTAGGCAGGGATCTAGGCATGGTAGATAAAAGGCCTATGTTGCTGCTGCTTTCTGGAGCTGAAATTAACCTTTCTTTGCTACCTGAAATAACTGTTAGAGCTCTGCAACATCTTTTAATAAACTGCTCTGTTCTGAGATCTTAAAATATGCTTATATAACTTAATGTGCTCCGTGGTGCAACACCAAAGAAGTTGGGCTGAAGGCAGCAGAGTGAGCTGTTGTGCAAGCCTGTTAAACTGTTATTCTATTTAAATGTTTGTACAACCTGTGGACCAGCAAACGTGGTTAGAGCTGAATTTGTGGCCTGCTATGTGAAAGCAAAACTGGCTTTTGCTGTCATCCAGTGCCATTTAATTCATACCTGCTGTGAATGCTGCTCTGAGTAGAAAGCAAATGTTAATTGTCTGTCTGCATGGCACAGCTGGTGGTCACTGTTGTGATTACAGTTTAGGTATCACCATTCCTGTTCATTTAGTGGTATATAACTAACAAACTGAAAGAGGAATTGAGATCCTGTATAATAGGATGAGTTTTACTGGTATAAGAGGTGGTTGAAATATATGTTAATGTTATATATAAGTAGACCTTTGTAATCTTGAAAAAAAAACAAACCCACCTGAGCTTTAACAGGAGTACATTGTATATTGACACTTTGACTAGTATAATTCCAAAGTAGTCAGTGTGCCTTTACATTGGTTTGTTTGCAATGATTTAATAGAGCCTAAATAAATTCTAGATTTTTCAACTCTGTTTTTAGTCAATTCTCTGGATATAGGTCAAAGCAGTTTTTGCTGAATGTTTAAGTAGTGTTGAAGTAAAGTTTCAGAAACACTGTTATGACAAGTTAGACCCTAAACTTCAGTACTGTGTAAGACTAACCTGAATGTTGCTTGAACCACTAGTGTTAGGTGATCTAAGCTTGTGTAAGTTTGATGTGAGCTGGCTACTAAACTCAGTCTGCTACCAGCAGAAACAGCATCTAACTGTAGGCTAGAAATAAAACTTGGTTTAAAAGCATCTTAAGGATGTCAAGTACCTGCTCTTCTTCAAAGAATCTCTTCTATAAAGGCACAAAACCTGACATATTTTAACTTTCTGATGCTTTTTCATGTATGGTCTGTATTGCACTTAAATATTCTAGTTTTGAACACCTAAATACCAGCAAAACAGCAAATCAATATGAGGTAATGTCACTATAGTTAATTCTGGCTGGTGTATTTTAATGTATGCAGGGAGTAGAAAATAACTTATCCAGAATGGAGTCTCAAGTTGTAAATTCTGGCTTAAAGTCGTAATATCATTAATATGTATGTAACCCTGTATGTGTGCTCTGCTAGTTGAAGTAAAGAATGCATTATGCACGCAGTATGAGCTGGGGAAGGAGATGACTCTCAATAAATTGTATACAGGAGATTGTATCTTTGCAACAATAATTGAAACACTGCAGTCTCTTCTGGTTCCATGGTCTTGAGGCTGTTTTTACTTGTTTGTTTAATGTACAAGTCTAACTTAGTTAGCTAGTGGAAAATCTTAATAGCTTCAGACACTGCCAGACTTACCTGGTTAGGTGACTTAAGGTGAAAAGCTTCTGTTACCTATTTGCAAATATACCGAACTAGTTTGGTAGTGTACTTCTGTCTTGGTAAACTGCAGTGAGGAGGAAGAGGGTAATAGAAGCATTGATCTGTTTGACTTGTAATGAATTTACCATGACAGCAAGTTTTTTAAGTTGGCTTGTAAGTGAGGGCTAATAAAGTGATGGACAGGAAGATTCAGATTGCTAGTAACTTAATCTATAACTTGTTGAAATTAAACTTTATTCAACTGTATCTTTTGTCCTGCACTTGGATCCTTAATAGCTTTAGTTTCTGTTCATTATTGGAAACTATACAACAATATAAACTTGCATAGTCAGTAGTGAAAGGTAGTGCTTGTGCATGAGAAACTCTAAGATGGAGTAGTACAAAGGTGCACTCTTCTAGCTCGAGAATAAAGTAAAACTTCACAGCTCAACAAATAGCTGTTGTGAGGGCCACATAGACACTGGAAATTATGTTTTCCAGAGTTAATGATGTGCTGCATGTACATGGATTACACTTTGTGAAGTTAACTAAACCCTGCAAGCTTCTTCCCTGTGCATGCTATTGGAATTTCTGCAAATGCTAGTGATTAGTTTCAGATAACTGTTGAAGAAATGCAAGAGTGTATTTGGGCTTGTCATAAAACTGGACAAAGAGCATTTCATCAACTTGTTTTGAATTTAGTGTGACAATTAAATGTCATGACACATATAACCTTCTGCCATATAGTCTTCTAATGACTTCATACAAATACTCAACTATACAGTTATATAGCGTATTGAAGTAGTAACCTCCTATTAAAAAGACAAATGTGTGTACTGTAGGAAAGTGTAAAGGCTTTCATATGCTCCTGTGTTTCTCAACATTTGGGCCAACTAAAATAATGTAACTACTTAGTATCTTCAGATTTGCTTCCCTCTGGCTGCATAGACAAAGATAACAGCAAAGCTTTAGAGAATCACTAAAAATTATGGGTTTAAAACACTTACAACAAGCCTACCTCTTCCCCAAGCTGCTTTCAAAAGAATGTTAAACTATCTAGACAGTCTAATATTACTGTCACTCTGTAAATAACAGGGCTTCTGCTGTTTAAGTATTATCGTGATTTTTCCGATACCTTAGATTTGCCTATTCTCTGATAAAACATATCCTGCTTTTAAAGTGAAGTGAGCACCAGTTGCAATGAACTATTAAAGGACCATGTGAAACAATCAAGGAGTAATAAGTCCCTCCAAAAGTCCTTATTTAGCTACAAAGTTAGGCTCCCATGTGGTAGCACAGGTATATTTTTCATGCCAAACTTTGAAAAGCTTAATGTAATTCTTTCTGCAGGAGCTGGTGCATTGATTGTATCTGGCTTGTTAGTGGAAGCACTTTGATCTAATCCCAAGTAATGTGGTTGCAATCTATCTCTTGGGTGCAGTTTCTTCAGAATGTCTGGAAATGCTATCCTAATAAAGGATCTGTACTCACTGACTTGGGCTTTACTGGGAGGAAGTATGTTTTAAACCTTGAGTGATGCAGCTTTGATTTTAAGTTTGTTTGGGCCTTCAACTTAAATATGTGGGTTTCCTTAGATGGAGGTGCCTAATTTTGCACTAAATGCAGACAACTCACTCTCTTTGCATTTGGCTGTAAGAAACTGAATGAAGTGAATAAATTCTGTGGCTTAACTAGTTGTGGCAACAAAGTTGACTTTTTTAATGGAGTAAAAGCTTGATTTGGGAAATATCAGTAACAGCATAGAATTCCTTGGCTCACAGTGTCTGTAACACCTATAGGTTGCTCTGGAAGTATGTTGGATAAGGCAGTTTCTCTCGCTTCCACTATTAGTTTTAATATCTTTTCTTATTAGGTGCCTAAACCTGTACATCAGCCAGCTGCAGAATTTTGCTCTACTTCAACTCTTCCAAAAGATCCAGTGTTGAGAAGGGAAAAACTTCAGGATCTGATGACGCAGATACAAGGGACTTACAACTTCATGCAAGTATGTTTTTCTCTGCTGTTGCAGCACAAAGCTCCAATTCCTACTGAGTTAGGGAAAACAGTGCTGACAACGTGTGTTTGCACTGAATGAATGAATCTAGCTCTAGCTAACAGCAACTTGTCAAATGAGAATGTTTCACTTGTATTTAGTGTCTAATTTTTTTCTACCAATTGCTGATCTTTTTTCAAAAGGAGTCCATTCTGGATTTTGATAAAGCTTCACCAAGTGCCATTGGTTCATCCCAACCACCTTCAGTTACTCCAGCAAGTAGTCCTGTAGGTAGGTAATACTGTAAGTGTAAACTGCATGTAAGCTTTTGTAAACACTAACAGTGTTTGCTTGGGCTGTAGATCAGTAGGTGTGGTGAAGACAGCCTGTCTAACTGTAAAGAATACCAATGTCTGATTTAAAAAAAAAAAGACAGCTTGAGCCACTTACCTGCTTATTTGTTGCTGGAGGTGACTTAAGTTGGTGCATCTGCCTGGAAAAGGAATGCTTGTATAGTCAGACTGGCATGTGCATCAGAACCCAGCTGCAGAACTGATGTGCTGTCTCTCTAACAAACTTGTTTAGGTGTGGTGTATGTAGACAGAAGCTGTGAATGACCTCTGGATAAAGAGCAGTTACCAGTTTTCTAAGTGGAGCTAGCTACTTTCTGCAATGGGCCATGTTAAGAAATGGTTTGGGTGGGTCTTGAGCTGTAAAACACAATTACCCAGTTTATTAAATTTTTAATTGCTGATTTTATCTGGAAAGTGGGTGTTTCTATTGTGGTAGAAATATTTTTATCATCGACATTACCTGTCTTTTTACAGAAAAGAAACTGATGTTTCAGTTGGGTGTAGTTTACTGATGCAAGTCTAAATATTTGCAGTGCATACACTAAAAATAGTGTGCATTTTCCTACACCAAATGTTTTCAAAAAGTAAAACTGCACACTGAAACTGTATGTAGTGTTTGAATTTAAAAGGAGATGTTGCTTAATGCATTCTTTCTTTACAGCTTCAAAAGAACAGAAACTGCCAAGTCAGAGTGATTTTCTTCAACAGCCTCTTCAAGTAAGTTGAAGTTAAGACTGCCCTGAAGAGGCAGAGCTGTAGCTAAGGAACACAATATAGAGGTTATTCAATAGAATAGACTTGTACTTTAGTTGTTTTTCTTGTTGTCAGTAGTTTTGTAACAAATTTCATATAACTTAGTAGCTTGCAAGTAGCTTGCAAGTCTAGGATCACTCAAATGCTGACAAAGTTGGCTGCTCTTCTGCTTGAAAAGCAGCAACAAATGTTTGAAATTTCTTGAGTAAAATGGAATGTTGAAGACATGCTGAAATACTTTGAATATTTAACCCATAGATTCAAATTGTAGTTGATAGTTTTTGTGTAGGAGAACATGCCGCTTCTTTCCTAGGTAGTGCACGTCTTCATCTTAGAGATCCTTACTTACACCAAAGATAGTGTCTCAAGCTTTGGCAGCCATGGTTAAGTGGAACCTTGAATTCACATACTGTGCTTGCATGTCATGCTCCTTTGGCTTTTAAATAGGTTTCCTTGCCACCAACAAGAATCCCTAAGAAACTTAGACTAACTGGTCAAAGCGCTTCAGCTCCTGCCTTTTTCTGATGTTTACTTGGAAATACTCAGAGTGTGAGTTTCAGTGGAACTAAACATTTAAGATAATCTTTCAAAACCTTATCTCAGTTTTCTCTTCTTGCAAGGCTGCTGCTTCATCCATGACACTGCATGGTTCAAATACTTCCCTAGCATCTGCTGATCAGACTCTTTCTGGCTCTGAAACTGAAGACTTGGTGACTCCACAGGTAATGTACCCTGGGGTTCACTGGCATTCAAAGATATGTGCAATAGCTAGCCTGAACAGGAATCTATGGTGAGGCCTCTCCTGAATAATTGTTTTTGAACAGTGTACAGAGACAGAATGCAGGTGAAATCAGTAATACAGCCTATGTTCCAGAATACATAAGATAATTGGAAAAGTCTTCCTAATACTGCATGAATACAAAGTGAACAGTCTGCCCCTTGAAATGGGAAGGGTGTGGGATGAAAAATGCAGGCTAGAAAGTGTGGTGAGCTTATGAGCAGCATAAATATTTGCTTTGGTTACAGTGTAGAATACTCCCTCTAATGACAACATAGAGGATGCATAAATTGGGATGGATATTGTCACAAAATATCAGACTTCTGCATAAGCTGAAGACACAGATGTGTTCTCTCAAGCATTAACTGAAGAAATACTGGGAATCTGACTTCAAGACCTCAACCTTTGCTTTCTTAACTGTATTTATGTGCAGTTAAATCTTCAACTAGCATTCCAATATTGTTTAGAGCTGCAAATACAGTTTCAATTTATGCAGATCACTGTCTTAAAGATCTATTAAGTGTTGGTGTTTTCAGAAACACAGCTGAGTCTTACCTATTGGACTGTAATACAGTGTATGTAGATTATAATGGGGAAATTTTCATGCTTTTTAAATGTGTTTGCTGATGTATACTCTGTGTGTGGCATTTACACTATTCCTTAATACACTGTGTAGTCAAATATAAGTCTTGACAGGGATATTATAGTTTTGCTACCTCTCAAATCTACAGTTATGGCCCCTTTCTTGACACCTGCTCTTGCTACTACAATGTCATAAGACTTCTTGTGCTGGCAAGGATTAAATAATGTTGCTGTTTGATATGCATCCAGAAGACTTTTGCTGTGCTATAATGTAGAACATCTGATTTAGTAGAATGTTCTGAGTTTTTTCTGCAAACTTACTGTTTGGAATTAAGGTTGTTTGTGCCCAGCATACCTCTAGTCCCTTAGGCTTGAAGTGTCAATTTCTACTTGAAAGCAGTAGATAAGCTTTCTTTGGTCCCAGCACAACCAAGGAATACACTCCATGGTGACAGTGCACTCTCCTGGTATGGAAGTGCAGTTCTGTCTGATGCACCTGTGATGGTATACATGGTGAGAATGGGAGTGGTAGTCTTTAGCCCTAGGCTGTATATCTAAGTATAAGTAACTCTTAAACTTAGGGTTACAAGTGTGAACTAACCATCAGGTTTTGCGAAGGCAAACCAGATTTTGGCTCTGAAGCCTTGTTCAACAGAGCTTACCAGAAGTTTATCATCAGACATGTCTTTCCATTTGAGATAGGTGTGTCACAGACTTCATTATAAATAACTGCATGAAGCAATCTACAGTTGCTAAAATTATCTGGCTTTGCAGGGTTAGTTGTACAACCTCTTGTGTAAGAAGGGTAATCTAAGTCTGAACCTGTACAGCTAATTACCTGAAGCTTTTGGTTAAGATGACTGTTTAGTACATTTACGTTGGACTTAATGTTTGTCACGGTCTTTCAAAATCCACTTGTTTCAACTTATGCACTGATATTTCATGGCTCTACCAGAACTTTGTGCAATACTTCTTGTAATAGCAGGTGCATGTATGGCTTCTTCTAGGCATCAGCATCTCTTTCTCAAGAGACTGAGAAATATACTTCCCAGCCACTGTATCAGACAAGTTCACGTATTTCTGAGCCGCTGATATCTAAAAAGATTGAAATTGCCCAGGTGAGCTATCAGAAATACAGGTAAGGTAAATATATTGGTTGCTGAAATGAGTCCTAGAGCGTTACGTTCCTTTTGACTTCTGATTCCTATAAATATAGGTGTTCTAAATCAACACTTCATTTTGCTGTCTGCACAGATGAAATGTAATGCTGGTTAATACTTTGTCTGGACAACTCAGCATTATTTCTAATCTGAAATATAACTAAGTTGAGAGGGAGGAAAAAAAATCAAACCCCCTAAGCTTCCTGAGTTCCTTTGGAAAAGAGAAGTCACTTCTAATATCAGCCAGAGAAGCATTTTCCAATAAATGGAACAGAAGGCATTCCATGTTTCCTTAGTGGTGGGAAAAAATACCTAATGTCTCTTTATTGTGAAATTATTACAATGAGTGGTATGTATAGTAGCTCATGGGCACATTTCACTTAATCAGCAGAGACTGTGATAGAAGTACTGTTTGCTGAGGATGCACAGCAAGATTTGAAATTGTAAGCAAAAGCTATTTTGTAGCTCTACTATGCCCAAATGTCATCCTGTAGAAACTGCTGACTTCTGTCAGTCTAGGCTTTAGAACAAATCAACTGCTTCTGTTACTGCCTGATAACTATCAAGTGACCTTTCATTACATTTGTTCTTCCCTCAGGCAACTATTCCCCTCCCAAGTGAGCCACAGTCACCGTTGCCTACTTCAAGCACCTCCATGTCGCCAGTACCACCAGCGCAAAGCTTTCAGTCTCCTCCAGCAAGTAGCAGTTCTGTCACAATAACAGCAGCTCCCTTTCAGGCTATGCAGACTGTAAGTATGCAGCTTGAGGCCACTGAAGAATAACTTGACAATAATGCTAGGAACTGGCTGCTCTTGATATAGTATGAAACTTGATAGATAACTTTGATGTTTCAGTGTTAAAAACCTAGATTAGAACTCTGATTCTCCAATGCCTTCAGAACTTAAAGCAGGTCATCTAAGAACAGAGATTCTGGTTTTGCTCTGTATAGTCCCAAATTCTAATACTGGGATACCCTGGTATCCCCGGGAACTAAGAGGGAGATGTCAGTCCCAAATAGCTGTGCCCCAAGGTGGAGTTGACTGTACTTAAACTGTTCTTATATGTAGATTTCAAATAAAGACTGCAGAGGAGGGAGGGAATCCTGAGGTATACAACAGGACTAAAAGCTTTCTGAAGCCTGAACCTATATTGCTGCTTTTTAAAGTGTTTGATTTATTGGGGTGCAACTCAGTCCACTGGAGTCTTGGAAGATATGTCCTTGATAAAGACTGGTGTAGCTCATTATCCTATCTTGTTAACAAGTAGTCAACATAGGTATCTAGGGAGTAGTCCACACAGACTGAGCAGTGTTTTTTGCAAATAGATACCATTTTTTCAGGCCATACATCATTACAAATGTTTTCTAACATTGCTACTGTCTGGTAATCTGCTTAGAGGGACTCAGAGGAGGGGTCTTCATTTAGTTGTTAATGTTCCCTTCTCTGTACTTGGTCTTATTTACTCCTCTGCCGCCTTCAGAAGATGCTAGAAACCTCCATTTAATGTTCTTGCTCAAAAGCAAGCTTAGAAAGAGGTCATTGAGATTCTCCAAAGGCATTGTCCATTTCAACAACATACCAGTGCAGTTCCACAACTTGCTGGACAATCTGCATCTTGCAGTATTGAGACATATGTAGTAGGTTTTGGTGGGAGAAGGTAGCTAATAGCCTTTCAAAGCACAGGAATTAATGATTAAAACATCTGTGACATGCTGGTGTGGTCTGTAGTAAATTGCCACCATGACATTTTCTTCTTGGTTTTCTGTATTTGTAGAAGAGATTCAAGTAGAACCTTCCTCAGAGGTACAGAATTTTGATACACATTATAAATAAGGCAAGTGTTAGTAGGGAGGTGGTTCTTTCTAAGCCAGATCTATTTAAATTACGCTAGGTGGACTTTTCATGAAAGTGGAGAAATAGCAGCATGCTATGATCAAGGAATCCAGAGTCTTTCTGGGGACCCAGTTGGTAAGATAAGAATCTGTCATGACATAAATAGGGAGTCTTGGTCTTGGTCATTCTGATTATATCTGAACATAGTGTGTGTGTGTGTGTTCAGAGTACTTCTGATCATAATGGTACCACTGAAAGTTCACTTGAATTAATGCTGTGGTGTTTTCAGAGATGTTAAATGTTCAAAATTTCTCTTGGTATTTTTGGGTCAAACTGGCAAATATCTGTCACTAAAATGCTAGATGTTAATTCCTCTTCAACTTTCCAGTGCAGGGTTTTTGTTTCCCTATATTGCTTAGATTCTCATTGCCTGGAAAATACAGCCATTGGATTTCAGTAGATAGCCAGGAGTCAGATGGTTCCTTGCCAAAGAGTGGTAGTACAGTGACAGTAATGGAAGCATCTGATTACATGTCCTCAGATGTCTGAACATCCTATTGCTGCTGTTGTGCTTATGGGAGCTTAAAGGCAGATCCTACCTGTAGCCTTAGTCCTTTATTAGAATTCTACCTGTAACCCTCACTGTAGGAAAAAGACCACTTGCTACAAATACTCCAGGATGTGGATGTTGACAGCTTGACTGCACAGCATCCTCAAATTTCTTAGGAAGAGAATTCTTTGGATCACTCTGATCATTTCATCTGGTGAAGTAAAAAAAAAAATCAACACCATTATTTTTATAATGGTTCAAAATTAATACTTAACACTTCAGTATCAGAGGGGTTTCTGTGCTGGCTCCCTCTTAGAGGCAGTACTTGGCTTCTTGACCCTGGAAAAAGTGTTCATTTCCCATTTTAATTACAGAGGCTTCTGTAAATGACAGTTGTCAAGCTGTGAAGCTGTTCCTTGCATCCTTGTAGTTTTGCCCTGGTCTTTCTTCATACAGTTTATAGTATTGGAAAATGCTAGATACACCTCTAGACTCAGTATTAGTACTGCTGACAGCTCTTTATGTGAAATTTAGTTCCTTTTACTCAAAATAGACTTATTTCTGATTTGTTGTCATTCTTGATAGTGTCAATTCTGGTAATTTTGGGTTACTGGCTATAAAGCAATATACTCACTGGAGTGACTGAACTCTGGTTGATTAGATTTTACTAACAGTAATCTGTGCACTGCCCTACTGCCTTGGCTAGGACATAAAAATTTGAATTAAAAGATTGTTACTTAAGTTACGTGTTTACCATGAGGGGACTTAAGGTGAGTAGGAAAGTTGAGGCTCAATTTACTAAAGGGGTGAAGGCTACCTAATATGGTATTTGAGTGGATAGTAGTGTTGCATCAGGTTCAAATACATGCATAAAGACCCAAATTCTTCCCAAATGTGAATAGCTCATCTCAGTGTAGGCTCTCAGCTTCAGGTCAAATGCTGTCAAAATGCGTTTCAGGTATTTAAAGTGAATGCACCACTGCCTCCGCGTAAAGACCAGGAAATTAAAGAGGATTCGTCATATTCAGCAGGCTACAACCAGAGTTTCTCTACAGCAAGTACACAGACTCCTCCTCAGTGCCAGTTGCAATCTTCTCATGTTGCAGAACAAACCTCTCTTTCACAAGAATCTTTGTCTTCAGGTGAGAACTGTGCTTGTATCCATTTCAAGTAGTCTTTAAACATTTTCAGGTTGTAGTAGTGTTTTAATTCATTAACACTTCAATTCATTAATAGTCTTATAACTCAGTAAAATTCTTAAACACTTTATGCAGCATCTGTTAATGTTAGGGTTATGTGAACTCTAATCTAGTTCATGGTATGGAATGTAAACAATTTCAACACTGCTAGCAGGATGAAAGGATGCTTCAAACTGTTTCTATACTAACTAGTTGTGTGAACAGTGTCACTTATATGCCTGAATTTCCCAGTAGGTGGGAAGTTCAGGTATGCAGTGATACTTGTCAGTCAAACAATTGTTAGCTCAGAATTGAAGCAATGATTGAATGCTCTTATTTGGAATCATTAATTTGGTCTCTGGTAATAGACACTAGTACTGTCTAGCGCTGGGAGTTGCTGAATGCTTAATAAGAAAGTTGGGATAAGTTTTCAGTCTGACCTGAGGAATACTAAACTTCTGATAAGTGGGGTCTTTAGCTGCCTTATTCAACATAAAACTGATGTGCTTGGCATTCAGATACTGTACCAGGTGAATTTATATAGCTGATGCTAAATCTGCAACGAAGCTATCCCCTAAATATGCCTGAAACAGGTTCCAGGATGAAAGGAAGATGACAACTAGGGATTGGGATTTATAAGACTATCTAATCAAGTGACCCAAGGTCCCTTAAAACTGTCTTTCTGCCAGAGGAATCTTCAGAGGAATTATACTAGAGATAAACTGGTACTGTGTGAAGTCAGTGAGACATATGAAGATTAAGAGCACCAGAGAGCAATATAAGTATCGCAGTCAGGAAAGCATGTTTAGCTTGAATGCTCCTTCTCACACTGAGACTGTAGGTGATCAGCCTTCTGTGTAGCTTTTTGATGGAATATCATGATTTTTGATTCATCTTGTGCAGTGGCTCTGCATAGACTTTAGAAAGGGGTTTAGACTGTAACTCTGGATCAGTTTTAAGCTTTTTGGATAGATACAAGGATGGTCCTATGGAAACACATTCATGGTTGCAAGGCTTGTATTTAAAGCTAACCACTCAACCATGGTGTGAGTGAAAAGCTTTCTTGAATGCCTGTTGCTTGGGGTTGAACTGCCTAATAGCATGTGGTAGGAATATCTGTTCAAGAGACTGAATCTTGCGTTCCACAGCTGTCTTACTGCTATGTAGGTAAGACTGAGTTTGTTTCATCATTTTGAAGGTTGTCAACACTGAGATGACCTTCTTCATCAGATAGACCACTGAGGCCTTGGTAGTAGAAGAGTGGTTCTAACTGAAAATTCTTAATCAGGTGTTACTTCAGTTTTTTTCCCTGGCTTGGTTATTTTCTTGATGCTGCTAACAAGCTTGTTCTGACCTAGGCAACTGAATCTTCTTGAATGCTTTAGAGGCCAACATGGACAGCCCGGGCTGTCTGCAGTATATACTTTCAAGCATTACACTCTACAGAACAAAAGGGAGGATACCCACTGATTTGGAGTGATGAAGGGGCACAAGAATAGGATATTCAGAGCAGCTTAATCAGTCTTTGAACTTCCTAATGCTGCCCTTGCTTCTAGGTGTGGTGACTTATTACAGTTATAAAAGCTTTGAATTCATATGTGCCTTCTGTTTTAAGCAGTGAATTATCAACCTGATGGAGCTGTGCCTGTTAGCAATGGTAGCCTTGCCTTTTATCCAGCACAGACTAATGTTATTCCCAGACCCCCTCAGCCTTACCTTAACAGTCGTGGGTCTGTCAGAGGATCTGCTAGAGGTGGAAGGTCACTGGCTAATTCATATCGTTCCCCTGGTGGGTACAAAGGTATGTATGTATTTACTGCCACCTTAAAAAATAGTCTAATGTAGTAACACAAGAACATGATTTAACATAACATAGTATTAAATTTAGGTTCTATCTGTGTAACTTCTTAAAACAAGACTTCTTTAAGAGCAATGTGCAGAGTATGGGGTCTCTTTGTAGAATTTAAGCAAGTTAATTCTGACTTTTATTTGTAGTCTCTGTACTTTGGGTGTTAGATCTGGCAGAGCAATTTCATAGCCTTTAGAATTATGAAAGTAGAAACTTTCACTGATATGTTATTAAATTATTTAATTCTATGGACTTTTGTTTGCCATTTCATTTACCCTTCTGAACTTTACCCCCTTTATTCTTTCTCTTGGCATCTGTCTTGCTAATGTTCTAGACAATTATCTCTTCAGATATCACTTGCAGTATTTGTCCAAAACAAGATATTCTTTGCTTACCACAGCTGGTTTTAGTATTACTGGCAGAAATTGGGATGGGGGCAGAGGTTCCCAGTACTGGAGAGCCCTTCTGGATTAATAACAAATTGAAGGGGTTTGAGAGATTGTTTGGTCTCTGCAAACCAGTTGCTATTCTGCTGCTAGCTAAAGTTCTATGAAAAATTTCAGCTGACTCTCAGCAGCTACCAACTTAAGGTTATTGATAGCTGTGGCCTATTCCACTTTGAAGTGGAAGGGCACTTAGTCTGTGATAGAACTTGTTTCAGTTACTGGGCTGAGGCCGCTTGATACCCTGTAGGAACATGTGCCAGAATGAGTTAGAACTACATAAATTACCAACAGTTAAGGGTTTGGTAGTTTAATAGCTAAAGATATTAAATATGATAGTACTTAAATATTTAATAGTGAAAGCTAAGCATCTATAATGGCAAAAGAAAGCATTTCTTAATTCTGCTAAATCCTGTCTCTGTATCTAGCAAGTTTTTCAGCTCTTCTGTGAAGTCCCATTAATATAATGTGTAATGTTGATAAACACATTGGGTAGTTCAGAGTAGCTAATGAAATGCATTCTTTATAGGAGTAGTGAGACTCTGAAATAAGGAATAGATGTGTAATTCATAATGTAATACACATGGTAATTGCCAAAAGGGAGCTTTAGTTGTATTCTGGACTTGTAAACCAAACCGTGAATAATATTTAATAATCAACCTTATTTGAACAGGTTTTGATGCTTACAGAGGCTCACCTTCAATAAGTAATGGCAGCTATGGCCAGCTGCAGTTCCCTGGTAGAGATTATGCTGGAATGCCATATTCGCAGAGGGTAAGTATTGACTTTGTTTCCAGTAGCCTTCTTGAGTACTGTATGGGAGAGTAGTCTTTCTAATACTGTAGCTTTTCATTATCCTAACAGGTTGCATTATTCGTCACAAGCTGGAGTTTAGCTTTGTTTCCTAGATGGAATCTTTTTTGAAATGGTAGACAGCAGTTGAAATAGGAAGTCAGTTCAGATGCATAACATCTCTGTATGACAGGCTGATTTTAGTCTGAAGGGAATCTCCAAAATGCAAACAGATGGCAAATAAGATGTGGCATAATGAGTCCATTTTACTATGGATTTTAAAGTTAGTCCTCAGTGCCTTTGTCGTATAAAATAATGAACTCTTAAATAGATTACTGAGAATGTGGTTAGGTGGAGAAAAAAAGCCAAAAAACAATGTGTAAGAAAGCAAAGGTTCCTGGTGGGAGAAGGGTCTTCAGCTTTGAAATGAAATACATTCTTCTGTACAGACTCTCAGACTTGTAATGGACCTGAGACTTAAGGTAATGCTTGATGAACTGAATGTATAGTTCAGAAGCTAACTTGCTAGAACCAGCATTGAAATAGCTCTTCATTTCATACAAGCTATTGTAAAAGTAAATTTTCCATAAATAAGGCTGTTTATCTACATCTTAATTCTGAAATCCATCATTGTTTAGCTGAGGGGAGACCTTACTGCTCTCTTACAACTACCTGATAGCAGGTTGTAGTGAGGTGGGTGTTGGTCTCTTCTCCCAGGTAATGGGTGATAGGATGCGGGGAAATGGCCTCAATTAGCAACAGGGCAGGTTTAGGTTGGACATTAGGAAAAATTTTTTCACCAAAAAGGTTGTCAAGCATTGGAATGGGCTGCCCAGGGAAGTGGTTGAGTCCCCATCCCTGGTGGTATTTAAGACAGGTTGGCGAGGTGCTTTGGGACATGGTTTAGTTGTGGAATGGCAGTGTTAGGTTAATGGTTGGACTTTATGATCTTAAAGGTATTTTCCAACCTAAACGATTCTTATGGTTCTCTGTTCTAGAGCTTGAATTGTACAAATGAAAAAAAACTGTATTTGGTAGTCCCACTTGGTTTCAGATTTGCTCATAGCAATCTTACTAATATTTCTGTTCTTTTTAGGATGTTAATTACCAGCAGTGCTATAAAAGAGGTGGGATAACTAGTGGTCCTCGAGCAAATTCAAGAGGTAAGCCTAACATCCCATTCCCAGCGGTACATGCATGTGCTTGGGCCTAGCAGATACTTGAGTGGAATGTTATTGTGAATAGTCAGAAAAAGTCTACTATCATTGATCAAACAAATCAAGCTTGGTGTAAATTAACCAGGATAGATGAAAGCTTAAGTGCTGTTCTTAGACAGTCAGCACTGCATAGCAGCAGATTTAATGTCACCTCTCAATTTGGTGTCTTCACATGTCAAAGTTTGGACACAATGGTATCTTACTGAACTTTTCTTCACAAATAAACTGACCAGGAAATACGCACAGGGTGGTTCCCATGTTGCATTGGCTTCATCCCTTAATTATTAATGGTTTCCTCTAATTCTGGGTGAGCTCTCAGATCCCAGAAATGTTAAGATCACTTTTTTATATGAAAAACAGTGTCTGGGAATAGAGGTTTACACTGTACTTCCATGCTGGAGTACAAAACCTAAAGAAATACATAAGACCAGTTGTTTCAATCCAAGCATGAATAGCATGTATTTTGAAAAGCTGTAAACAAGATGATTTAATCCTGGAAAATATACTGGAAAAAGCTGGACTTACAGTGCTATAGGTGAAAAGAGAGATTAGTAGTAACTATAGATCACTACTTTGAAGAATAAAAGGAAATGATGGTATACCACGAAAACTGTTTTAGGATAAAGCAGGTTATCTCTCGGTCAGGGAGGACTTGCAGAATATACTTCAGAAGAGAACTAAAAGAAATACGAGATTGTGGAGAGTTAACAGTAGGTATTGGTAAGATATCAGTAGCAACTTTATTTAGTTTTATTTAACATTTTAAGGTGTTTCTTTCCAGTGGAAATAACAGTGGGTTGGAACTTGAGGTGACTGTTTTAAATTTCTTAGACCTATTAATGTTTTCATTCTAGATACTTTTAACTTGGATATTTGAGAAGATAAAACAGCTTCATTTGGGGGAGTAGGGTGCAGAAAGCTTAAAAGCAGTTCTAGTTCTTTGAACTTAAAAATATTCTAGTATCATAAGTTCATATGATCTAAGAATGCAGCTCCAGAAGAACAGTATTGAGGTAACGAAGTGCAAATTCAGGTCTTGAAGGTGACTAAGTGACTCTTGGCTCTTGGCAATCTTGCCAATTTTTTCAGAAATTATATTTTATCTTCACTCAGAAGCTAGCATATGCCTTTTTTATGTAATATATGTATGTGGCAAATACTAAAGCTAAAACTGTCCCAAGCTAGTGCCCTTTCTACTTAAAAGTATGAGAAG